TATAATAATGTAGCTATAGTTCAGTTGCTTCCTGGTATATATAATAATGTAGCTATAGTTCAGTTGCTTCCCTGTATGTATAATAATGTAGCTATAGTTCAGTTGCTTCCTGGTATGTATAATAATGTAGCTATAGTTCAGTTGCTTCCTGGTATGTATAATAATGTAGTTATAGTTCAGTTGCTTCCTGGTATGTATAATAATGTAGCTATAGTTCAGTTGCTTCCTGGTATATATAATAATGTAGCTATAGTTCAGTTACTTCCTAGTATATATAATAATGTAGCTATAGTTCAGTTGCTTCCTGGTATATATAATAATGTAGCTATAGTTCAGTTACTTCCTAGTATATATAATAATGTAGCTATAGTTCAGTTGCTTCCTGGTATATATAATAATGTAGCTATAGTTCAATTTATTCCTAATATAATGGTGTATCTGTAATGCACTTTATTCATTATATTTCTGGTATTTAATGATAAAGCTGTAATGCAGTTTATTCCTGTTTGTATAATGATATAACTATGGAAAACCTGAAATTACAAAATATACATCGTTGATCAACATAAAATTATTTTGTTTCTTGAAGAATTATTATTTTATACTGTTGAATTTTATCCTATGTCAGAGTAATTTTGAAATTACTATTAGCAAGTACGTTATAATTTAAGGTTTTATATTATCCAAGTTTTATTCCTTTCTTTTAAAAACAAAAATCTGAAACAGCAAATAAAACTGCAGTTTTTGCTGTCATGTGATCCCCTGTGGTTAAAAATTTTCAAGTTTTAGAGGTCTTACACAAGAAACTATAAGTTCCTAATATAGACTGTTGGTATAGATGGTCAAAGTACTGTTTCATCTCATTAGCTGGGGGGGAACTTCCAAGAATTTCTCCTGGTGTGAAACAACATTCTAATATTTCTAAGTTTAAGGTCAGCCATCCCCACCTGCAAAGACAAGCTGTGTTGTCAAGTGACACACTGAAATTGAATGGCATGTTTATAACCAATAAAGAGAGCAGATTTCACACTATTCAGTTATAGCCTGAAGAACCTCTACCTGTGTATGGATCTGTAGTATGAAATAGAAAATAAGCTTAGTCCATTATTCTCTTGAGGGGGTATGTAATGTTTGGCAAGTTTTTCTTGCCTTATATGTATTAGTTTGCTAAACAGTTAGATTGCATTTATATCTTAATTAATTATGTATTTTTTTGTGTTTTAAAATGCGTATTTGAAATGTTTATGATTTTTATATGTTTAACTTGTAGTTTAGCCTACCAAAATGTCTAAGCAAGATGGCATCATTCGCATGTGCAAGCGTAAGTGTTTGGAATTTATGCATGAGACTTATCCTATAATAAACAATAGAGCACTGCATGGGACATGTGGATCTTGGGATAATGAATAAAAGACAAAGAACTGGAAAAGAAAATTAAAAATAAACTACAAGTGAAAAGATAAAAACATGAAATTATGCATATGACAAAAAGAAATATTTAAATTATTCTTAAAAAATTTAAAAGGTATATACTTACTTCCATTTCTTAACTCTAAACATTTTATTGCATTGTACGCTGATGATGTTATCTGGAGTTAAGTGTATAATAGAGAAAATTGGAAAACAACATATAAACATTACAACTTTTGATATTCATTTAGAAGGTTCTAGAGATTATGCAAATAAAATGTGAAACTGAGATAAGAAATAGTATTTTTACACTCAAAATAAAAATCATATTGCATGTGAACTATTCAGATTAAATAATGAATGTTTTATTATAAACAGTAGAAAAAATCTAAAATTATTTTTTTTTTTTAAATTACATAATCTTAGGACTGTTCAAGTCAAATTTAAAACTATTTCATCAGCTCGTTTCAGCTTTATAATGAATTTTCACATAAGTCACATACCTACTTACAATGTAAGTAGATCGCAGTCAAAGGGTTAATACAGTCCTGTAATTTCAATACAAAATTTAAGCTATGACAGTGATGGTGAAATACCAACAAACCATGGTATGACATGAAAATAAATGATGCTCTTCTATAGATGTCTTATTTATACTTTCAAGTTTAGTGTGCTCTTTTACTCTAGTTGCACCAAAATATATTAAGCAACATCTAGTCAACACATAAAACAAATAATAAAACAACTAACTCTTTTTATGTATATGCTGTAGAAGAACATTCAGGCATTCCAGTCTCCCATATTCCAAAGCTATCTTGAGTGCAGTGTTTCCTTTCTTATCAGTGATATTCACAAAAGACCCAGCATTCAAAAGATCAGCAACCACAGAAACTGCCAATTCTTCTACACTTGGCACATTACTTCTGTCTAAATCAATTACCAAAAAATGAATATTTATTAATGCTATACTTATTATTAAATGTTGTTTGAAAACTACAGACATAAATGAAACTTCAGTTAATTTTATATTTACATAAATTGAGTCAAAACAATATTGGTCAAATAGAACATCAGCACCTACAGGTAATTTCAGTGTGTTCAAGTAAGCTAGAACAAAAAAAATAATAATATACATGTACACAGAAAAGGTATATAGTGGAGTTAAGTATTATTTGTACATTACCTGAGAGAATAACATTATGTATATGGTATCTGATGCAATAAAAATCTGAAGATATTGATAAAAATAAAATAAAAAAATTACTAGCAAGACTGTAAACACACTGCAATCTCTAATGCAATAAAATAACACATGAATGTCACTTTCAACATATGCATGAATTACTGCTCTTTCAGTAGAATAAATGTAAAAAGCAGCTTAAACTGTTTCATGCCTGGATGAGTGCAGGAAGGTGATACTGAGACATGTAAAGTTCCATTTCAAAAGTGGAAATGGACAAGAAGGGCAACTGATGATGGAGGATTGGAAAAGGTACATAAGAAATGAAGAAAGAAAGTAAGAAGGCTGGTGAATTTACAGAAGACTGTTGACAAACATGTAGAAAGAGATTGGAACAATCCTGACTCAGAGCATCCACAGCTAAAAATGCAGAATCCTAGACTGGTGATTAGAAAAGTAGAAACCTGGTGGCAAGTGGAGTTACAAAAATATTGATGACATACTCCCAAAGAAGTAAATCATTTAAACACCATTAGATGTAGAGACTACACAATGAGAAAGATCAGGTCTAGCTGAAAAAAAGCCAATTTGCCAGGTCATGACAGGTCAAGTGAATATTATGGTCTTGAGCCCAAAACTTATACCTAAAATATTTTTTTGTTTTTTTATCAATAAACTGTTGCATATAACTTTAAACATTTTAGATTTAAAATGATTCTGATGAAAGGGAGAACAAACATACAAAGTCATGAAAATTCCATTACTACATAGTGTTTTAAATGATATATCTTAAGCAAATCAACAGACAATATATCAATACCATGTACAAATCATATTTCACTACGAGTTTTAGAATCTTATAAGCTGGCTATTTCAAATTGTAATTCATGATGTACAAAATACATGAAGTTGTTACATATATATTTTTTTACACATCGTAGGAAAAATAAGGTTGCAGTGTGAAAAAAATGTGAGCCAATGAAGGTTCACATTTTAATTCAAATCTCATATTGTTACTTCTTGGAGATTAAAAATCTTAGAAAAAACACAAAAAAATTTTTTTAAAGAAAAAATTTGTACCTTTTTTCAGAAATTTCATCAATGGAGTTATTCCTGTTTTGGTCCTAATGTTTGGATTTGCTCCATACTTCAAGAGTACTTTCACCATAGAAACGGCCTTCTGACCATTTAAAGTTTTACATGCTATATACAGTGAAGTTTTTCTTAAATGCTGGTAAATAGGCTGATTTGCAAAAATAGGATCTATAAGAATAAGTAAAACAATCTTTCACTTAAAATAACCCAAAAATAATAGGTTAGTTTGTCTTACATCTTGTATCTTTGTTGGATAAAATCTTTTGCAATGCAAGTTACAAATGTTTACAAGCAGTATAACTTATTCACTTTAATATATATACAGGTAAATAGATTAGTTATCTAACATTTTTTATCTTTCTTACATAAAACCTTTTACAGTGCAAATTACAAATGTTACAAGCAGTACATTTTTTTCCAGTGCTGGAAATTAGTATTCTTTGTAGTCTACCTGGTAAATTCTAATTTAAAATTATCATATTGTTCTGTAAATTTTGGAAAATGAGAAGTAAACATGCACTACAGAAAACTAACATTTTCCTAACCTGAAAATGTATTTTGATAGATACCTCTTCTCACAAAATAGCTTTTCTCAATTAGTACTGCTCTCTATCACAATAACTTTACAATGCTCGCCACTAGCCTTCCACCTCCCACTTCTGCATATCCACGTGTAAATAATTATGCAGCAGCTCTCCACCAATAGAAGCACAACACAACCCCTTCTGTAACCAGCGCCCTCTCCACATTTGCACTCGTTATTCACTTCGAGATTGGTCATATGACCTACACCAAATATCACCGGAAGTGTGGAGGGAAATGTGAGTGGAGGTAAGGATCTATCAGAAATACATTTTAAGTTTAGGAAAATGTTAACTTCTGATACAATATCTTACCTCCAATCACAAAATAGCTAGCATCTCACAGTGAACTGCTGGAGGGCTGGGGGGGGGGGATCCTCCTTTAGGAAGGATCCAAAGTGAGACCATGACATGTCAAACAAAAAAAGAAAATATCACACCAGAGCAGGAGATCGCACAACATCAGATCCAGGTATACTCTTCTCTTTTTTTTGGCTGTGTCCCAAATATAAAAGGTGGTAAAACATGAAGGAATCCCATTATACATATTACTTATTAATCGATCCCCTAGGTGTCTAGTGACTAAGGCACAACAGACCGTAGTGGTAGTTTGACATCATTCAACACCTGGAAGCATCTGGAATTTTACAGCAGATCCACAGTACGAAGAGTCTAAATGCCATGGAGCATCAGAGATGGGCAGCAACCCCTGTCTGCTTTATTCATGATAGTCCATAAGTGTATGAACATAGAGAGAACCATTAGTGATCCTACAGAACACCCACTCTCAAGATGTGCATAATTTAATCTTTTGACATAACTGGTTCAGCATAGATGACACACAACCAACACCTGGCTGCATCTGGAATTGTTCATCAGGTCCACTGTAGGAAGAGCTACAACTAGTTGACATCGAGCATGATCACAGGATGGACAGTGCAGATTTTCCACACAAAAAAGGTATACCTGGTTAGGCACCACTTGCCACAGAGTGGAATCCACAATACACTAGCAAAGAGGCCCCTGTAAATAAAGAAATAACTAAACCATAGTACTCATCAGTCATATCGAAACCACAGTATGTAAGGTGGCAACCGGACGTAAACGAACACTTGCTGAGCAAGAAATGGCCACGTGATGCAAGTAATGTGAAACAAAGCTATGAGGTGTACTCCACATAATAGCCCCAATGATGATCTTCAAAGGAAGATGGAAATGGGCAGTCTGAGAAATCATTAGGTAATAGATTTGATGAGAAGATACCCTAAAAAGGAGACACTCCTCAGATGAAAGGGAAGAATACACCAGCCTAACTAACTGGCGATTCCAACCTGTAAGGGTAATGGGAGAGAGGTCCCAGAACATGAAAGGATTCCATGGAATAAACAAATGGTTATGGGAAACACAGAAGGGAGCAGTGAGATACCATCAGAGAACCTGGACCAAAATTTAGGATGTGGTCAGGATTCAAATGGTCATAAATGTGTGAAATGAAGAATAATGAAGTAGGAGAAAAGATGGAATTACCCTCCCTAGCAGCAGAAGTCTTGGGCAAAAACAAACAGTCATGGAAGAGGAGATCATAGGAATTTTGTAACAGCACGAGGTGAGCATCAATTGCAAAGATCTCAGAATGCCACAAGCCAATATTATGAAGAATACAGATTTTAAGGAAAGGTGAAACAGGGAACATGAAGATAAAGGTTTGAACAGAGGACGAGTAAGAGTGCGAAGGACAACATCGAGATTCAAATCTGGGAAAGACACAAGATGGGGAGGACAAGAACATGGAAAAGAATGAAATAACAAAGACAACATGGGAGATTGCAAACAGAGGCAAACTCGATAGCTGGCAATCACAGAAACTGACAGTCCCCTATCAAAAAGCCAAGTGAAAAATGCAGTCAACTGTGGTAGGGAATGGTGTGAGAGAAGATATTTCTGGAGGAGTGACCAGCAGCAGGAAGTATACCATTTATACTGATAAACTGCCAAGGAGGTAGGATATACAGAATGGGCAATGAATGATGCAACACGCCTGGAGAGGGACTGGACAAAACCACACGTGAAGCTTGAAGGCGGGTATGGATGGAGGATGATGCACACCTGGTTGAGGTTGACAAAGGAGTGTGGGAGACAATGGCAAAAGAAGGGGAGGCGACACCAAAAGTCTGCACAGAAGTGGAAACTACAATTGAGCAGGCCAAAATAGAGTTACCAGGATCAAACGAGATGGAGTGGTCTGAATCAATGAAAGGACCCTGGGAAAAAGACAAATAGAAGGATATGCATGCAGATAATATCCTATCCAGTTTTGACTGAGAGTATCTACAGCTTTTGCTAATGGATGCGAAATTGGAGACCAAAAATGAGGAATTTGTGCATTGAGATGAGTGGCAAAAGCATCAACATCTGGAATACCCCAGTAAGCACACAAATTTGGAAACACCCATGGATCTAATGACCACTCTGTTGGGAGAATCTTATCAGGCCAAGATAATTGGTCCGTGACCAAATTCAGGGTACCTGGAATATGACATGCTAATAATCTGATGTGATGATTGTGGACCAAGTAGAGGAGATTTAGCATTTGGAAACAAAAATTTCATGACTGGGTACACCCTTGCTTGGTGATATAAGACGCTACTGTGGAATTGTTGGAGTGGAACATCACCAAATGCTCCCAAACATTGGACCAGAAGTGAATCAGAGCACAATGGACAGTCAGCAACTCCAAGATATTATGTAGGGAGAATTTACCCATTGTTCAATGACCAAATATCTTCTGAGCATTGAGATATGCACCCCAACTCAAAAGGGGAAGCATCCATAAAAATATGACAATCCAGCCAAGAAGGTGGAAGAGGAATACTGATGGTAGTACTGTTCTGATTGAACCACCAAGAAAAGTTGGCCTGTAGATAGAGAAGCAAGGTAATTGGAGCATCTAAGGGATCCTAAATGAGGCTACATTGGTCGAGAAACACCCACTGAAGGTGACACATGTGGGCATGACCAATGGGAATGAGGGGAGAAGCCCACATCCCCAAAAGAAATAGGGTCTCTTATGCAGTAAGAGAGGCCGATATACTGTGACAAAGATGTTCCACATCCCATAAACGATAGGGAGAAGTCTGGGCTAGACTGAGAAAGTTAAAAAATATACCCAGATGAATCACATATTGTGTGAGTGTGAGAAAAGGCTTCTCCACCTTCATGAGCCAACCCACTTTGGCAGCTCTCGGAGAAGAAACTGAGTATGAACAGCAGATTTGACCTGAAAGAAAGCCAATATTAGCCTGTTGTCCATGTAACAGTCGAAATGAAGGCTTCTGGCATGAAGTAGTTGAGCAAACGACCTGACTACTCAGTAGAAGGCATAAGGAGCAGAGGCCAGGCCAAATGGTAGAGCCCAAAACTGATAAACACACCCCTATTGAACAAAACAATCTGGGAGTGAAAAACCCCTGAAGGGTTAAGTAAGACTTTATCAAGAATTTTGGTATGACCAGGAAACAGTTCAGGGATGATAAATCTATAACTGGTCACTAATCTTTTGTCTTTTTGTGGACAATGAACAGATGGGAGTAAAACCCCAGCTGAGAATGTTCCTCTTTCCAAAATAAGTCCCAAACACCACCCCCTGTATATGCCAGTGAGAAAGGGGGCAACTGGATCAGGAGACAGTGGGGGAGGGGAATGGAAGTGATAGGCCAGACCCCCAAACACCTCTTCACACATAAAAGTCATGCACAAGTCATGCAAGGAAGTAGCAGGTAAATGTACTTGAGAAAGAATGGCATCCCAACCCAGAAGATCCCAACAGCATATCAGCCACTTCTGAAGAGCCAAAGATGAAAGGCAAGAGACAAGTGAATTGGCTGAGCCAGCAAGTGCATGGTCAGTAATGCATACATATTTGTGGGCCACATCAGTCTGATACGGGAAAAGTGAGATAGTGAGAAGTTCACTGCTGCATTATGGTTTGAGCCCCACAATGGAATGAGAGATTCCAAATGTTGGGAATCAAGATAATGGAAGAAAGATCTATGAAATGCATAAACATGATCTTCAGATGTATGAGGTGGTCGAAGCATACCAACTCCCAATTCAAATTGATCCCCAAAACACTGGGCATGAGCCCCAACATCAGGTGTGGGAGAGAAAACTAAATATTGCTCCATATATTCTTCACCAAGGACGGCAGGTTGAGAATCATAGAAAACAGGAGATAAGGATAAGGTAGCACAAACCTGATCAATTAATTCCACAAAGGATTAGTTTGTTTGTTTCTGAATTTCGCGCAAAGCTACATGAGGGCTATCTGCACTAGCCATCCCTAATTTAACAGTTTAAGACTAGAGGGAAGGCAGCTAGTCATCACCATCCACCCCCAACTCTTGGGCTACTCTTTTACCAACAAATAGTGGGATTGACCGTCACATTATAATGCCCCCACATGACCCACAGATTGCAAGTCGAGCACCCTAACCACCTGGCCATGCCGGGCCCTCCACAAAAGATGAAGGAGGTCTGTGCAAATCCCCCAATAACTCCCATGACTGAGAAGCATAGTCAGAGGAGGAAATAGGCTGTCCAAATTCTTGTCCTACCTAGAAGACACCCCAGGAGCAGGCATAACAGGATATTCTTCGTGTAGTAGTGAAGGTTGCATGAACGTGGACATTTCTCAAACAATTGTTATCATGTCCTCAGCTGATAATTGAGTACTCAAACTGGTAGTATGGTCAGTAAATCCACAGCATTAGTAACAGTTGCAGTCATAGTCATAACTAGCTGAAACTGTGAGTGCAAACTGAAAATTTCAATCATAAGCAAAAAAGAAAAAGAAAAATTAAATTTGTAGTATAAAGAAAAAATGCCAACAAATTTACGAGCAAAAACAAGCATGTCTGTACAGTACTACCACCAATCAAGAAGTGATTAACGAGTGCAAATGTGGAGAGGATGCTGGTTATAATGGGGGTTATGTCGTGATCCTATTGGTGGAGAGTTGCTGCATAATCATTTACATGTGAATATGCAGAAGTGAGAGATGAAAGTCTAGTGGAGAGCACTGAAAGGTAAGATATCATATTGAAAAAAGCTGATAAAGTTTTAAAACAGTAACATATAATTTTGTGATGGTTAACAGCTTGAGTTTCCTTGATAAATAATGTGATATTACATTAATTTGTTCCTTAAATTATTGTTCAGGTAAATAGTTCATAAAAAATCACAGTGCCATAATGAGAACTTTGTACATTTTTTCAATAAAAAAATTTTATGAATTGCTGTTAGTTTCCGGTATGTGTGGAAAAATATTTGTTCATGTTTGGTTGTGGAAATGTGTCAAATTCTGCTTTACAGTATTATTCCCATACCATATTTAAAAATTTTCTCAACAGTTTCTACATCTCCTTTTTCAATGTATCTACAAAGTCCAGTGTGCCATCCACATGCACGATCCACCTGTAGATCAAGATCTTCAATTATTCGTTGCCATATTCTTTGAACTTTCCAGAATTGTTGTCGTGAGTCATCACTTTCAACTGCTTGAGTCATTTTTGGTTTATTTCTGTCCATAAGTAGTTAATAAACATGTTAATTATCAAGTAAAAGAATATTTTAGATAAATTATATATGTAACATTAACCCTAAACCAGATACAAGTTTTTATCTATGTTTTTTTTTTTTATTTCTTATGAAGGAACAAGGGAAATGTTTGTTTTTTCTTTTTTTAAGATTGTATACATGCGTCTTAATGTAAAAATATTGCTGGTGGAGTTAAAACGAAAAGTTGTTATTAATGTAGTCCAGTTAAATTGAACACTTGTTACTATGTATAGTTGTGTCCTTCAGGGGTCAGTGCTTGGATCTTTTTAATAATGCATATTAATAACATTGATAGGAGAATAAGTAATACATTAGTAAAATTTGCTGATGACATTAAACTGTTAAGTGTTTCTAATTGTATTTTTGATGATGAAGGACTATAGAATGACTTTGATTAGTTGGTAAGTTGGACAAATATATGGCAAATGATCTTTACTTATATTAAAGCCAGGATAAAGCATTTGGGCATCTAGAATCATATGTTTAATATACAGAAGGTTCTTGGCATAGTGGTGGATAAGTCACTCAAACCATCAAGGCAGTACTCTGTTCCTAGTAGTAAAGCTAATAGAATTGTAATATGTATTTATAGAGATACTAATTACAGGTCAATATAAGTAATGATCTCTGTAAACAAATTGATGATTGGGTCTCATTTAGAATACTGCATGTAGTTTTGGTCTCATTATCTAAGAAAGGATATTGACTTATTACAGAGGAATCAGACGAAAGCTATTAAACTGATTCAGGGGATGGAAAGGTTACCTTATGGGAATAAGTTAACATCTTATACACTTGAATAAAAAAAAAAAAAAGTGGTGTATAGTAAGTGAAGTTTGATAATCAAATTTTGTGTAGTTGCTGGAAGTTCATTCAACACGTTTTTTTTTTTTTTTTACAGAATGTTTATTTTGAACTTTGGAATATGACATAGTTATAGAGAGAAGCTGATAAAAGATGGCTGCTCAAAATGTTTCTTGAAGTAAAATATAACAAGATAAATAAAAAATTGAGAATTTAAAAATGTGCAAATAAGGATTGTAAAAAAAAAAAGCAAACAAGGCTAGAAATACTGTAGATATTACTTACTCAAACTACAAACCCCTATTTGGCTCCATGCTGTCACCTAGAATTACATTTAGTGGAGTCAAAATATGGATTTGTATTTTAAGAAAATAATGTCTACAGTATCTCCAGCCTTTTTTCCTCACTTTTCTTCATGATCCCTACTTGCAGGTTTTTAAATTCCCAATTTATTATTTATCTTGCTTGCTGGTTTTCCTTATGCTCAACTATGGGCAAAGGATTATTGGACATGACAGCTAACTTTATACATTGTAATGATAATAAACATAGCTAATAGCTAGCTCATACAGTTTATGATGATTTACTGTAGCTATTGACTATTTGATTGCATTATTTCAAGATGTAAAATGTTAAGCTGCAGCTGTAGATTAACATGGAGATTTATTTGAAAATACAGTGAGCATTTATAGTTTCTGTGTAACTAATATATGATGCATAACAATGAGCAAATATATGCCAAGACTAAGACACAACCCCCAATAAGCATGTATAAAATTTTACCAGTAGAAAAGCAGCCTTTTCAAAAACATATACATCTAAAATATTGCTTTAAATAAACCTTCATGTCTTTTAAAGTAATTATTCTATGAATGAGTGTTATTAAATTCAATATGTGTATTGATTTTTATATTCGTGCACTTCATACATATTATAGTGGTTGACTCCCTAAAGATACCAATTGTATAGTATACAAAGCATTGAGTATCTACATGTTACAGTCATCTAATGTTTATCAATTATTGGCTGGTAATTTCTGTTTCACCCTGTACTTAAGCTTTTTAAAGGAACAACAGATATTTGTTAAAAAGCTAACTTTCAAGGGGTAATGATAACATTGTTTACACTAAAATTATGATGTTTTTTAGCTTATGTAAAATATGGATGAAACAAATCGATTTTTCAATACCCCTATGACCTTCCAATACTTTATTTGGTATTTTACAAAAGGTTTGGATGCACTATACCAAGCCTTATACAGGCCATTTGGAGTGGATTTTCTTTTCCTTTAAAGTCTAATATGCATGCTTTTTTGTGCATTTTTATATGTGTACAGCTTTAGCAGTCAACAGTAAAGGTTTTAAAGTATTGTTTGAACTGAATCTTTACTGTTTAAGGTGGTTTTTCCACAAATGTTCTATTAGGGTTTTGTGCAATTCCTTGTGATTCCTATTATGAACCACTATCATGGTTCATGATAAATCAGACATTGGTTTAATTATTTTATTATTATTTTTGTATGTACACTGCAGAAAAATTGCTACAGTAGGAGTGCCCCTATAATGTGATTGCTTTCAAGAACTGCTTACCTGTTATATTCACTTAAATACTTGTCAACAAATAGATGGAATCGACCAAGTTTTATCGTACTGTCAAATACTGAACTGTCTATCAACAATATCTAAACAGTCATTTGATTGACTTTTGAACTCACTTTTATAAATATAACTACAACATGACTGCTTATTTTGTATTTCAAACATTTCTAAAACAATTTTCTAAAAAATGTATTTTAATCCGTTAGAACATGTATATATATATTTCCTAAGCTGTCACATCCTGAATAGATGGAAATACCATATTCAAACATGTTTTTATATTCTATTTTATGTAATTTTTGAAACTATAAATAATTATTTGATATTTCAATGAAGTAATTTGTTTGCTTTCATGCATATCAAACTGGTTACTTACAAATAATGAGCTATTTATCCATATGCAAACACTCAATAAGCTGTACAACTTATTTTACATATTCATACATATTATCATTGAAAAAGTACATTAAAAATGTTTATACAAGTATCTTCCACAATACCCATAAATCCTTCAAATATATGTTAATAGTTACATTTAAAGGAACACAAAATGCTGAAGTTTTACAATTATAATCTACATTTATAGTTTCCTCATACACATACTTTTAAATATTATTTTTCTTCAATAAAGTAATATACTAAAGAAAAACAAAAAGTGGTTAAATCATTATATTATGATGTAGTTTTACAAAATCACTTATGCATATAACTGTAACATAACTGGCTTCTCAATCAATAAATGCTTTCACAGCAAATATACCAGTTTTTTTGCTGAATGGTTCATTTCTTTTGTCCTTTCCAATATAACTTTTGATATGTAATACAACTAACACAGTTCATTTTTCCTCATACATGTCATTATAATACACAAGTGTCAAATCAGTATAAAATATAATTTTTAAATAACATTTACGAATACGAAAGAAACTAATCAAGATTTTTACCTGTGACTGTGAGAGCCCAGAGAAGTATAGCATACGTTTAGGATATTAATATTATGATACATGACATAATAACACTAACACTGTAACAATAACAATAAATATTCAAATACACATGTAGAGTAGAATATTACGTGTTTTTTGTATCCTCTCTTAGTCTCTAAATCTAACTTCTAGTTCTAAGTCACAGAAAGTAACTATGTCACAGTAAGTGTCTAACAAATCTTTATTAGCCATTAGTTGAGAATCTAATATTAATAAATTATAATAACTGCAATATTGTTCGAAGTTCTATTACCTATTTATTTATTCGTTAATTTAACTATTAAATAATGACCTCCTACCTTTAAAGTTTAATTTCGACATTTTAATTTAAATACCTTCTTCCAAGTTCTCAGCATCAGAGTTCAAACATAGACTCAAGCATTTCAGTACATGCTTTATAAATTACATCGTTATGCTCCAGGCGTCGCTACACTAACTGGTAATCGTAACCATGTGTTTATTGCATGACTTTTTATACGTATAATTTGTTTACCGGTACAAATACTAAGGCAATAATTAATGTTTATCAGAAATATTACTTTTTTGTACTGTTCTATCAACATCGTCCCGTCCCACTACTGCTACCTGGCTCTGCCGCTAAACATTAGTAAACAGTAGCGTGTCGTACCTGTTTACCTCAAGTTACCCTATCAAAGCCAATTAATTTTGCGTATATTGACGCCATGCTATTCAAAGGACGGAGAATTAAAGGTAATGCACGAAGTAAACCTCTAGTTTATGTGTCTTGTGAGAAAAAAAATATTTCAATCAATTTCTTAGTGTCAGTTTCATTAACAGTATCGGTTAAAAGCTTTAATATACATGTAATAAATTTATTATTATAGTTATCTAATCAAAAACACATTAGATGAAAACAAAATGCGGCCAAAAAAAGGATTGAGCTCTCTTGGGCTTTAGATCTTACTAGACCACCGTGACCCGTTGGGTCAACCACTATTCAAAGGTTATGAAGAATTCAAGCTAATTTCAATATTGCACCGAAATGAAGGTTTATTTTGAGATAATATAATTAAGTATTTCAATCCATTCGTGTTATTCATAATTCAAGAAAAGATATTTGATTGTTGTCCTCTTACACCTTTTAATGACGATGGGAACATTGACAGGGAAATAACATAATAGCCAATGCTCGGCGAGAGGTTTTGGTTTATAAAATTTGTTGTTGTTCTCCACTTGATTTTTATTTTATTACCTCGTCTCCATAGTTACTATTTGCAATAGTCAATAATATTGTAGGTCCATTTTATTGTTGTTCTTTCTACGCGCCGTTATAACACATTTTCATTTCATCATTCAATTTCTGTTGTGCATATATTGTTGTATGGAAGATATTTTAAAGTGATTCATCAGGTGGAAAACGAATAAATAGATAGATGGATAGTCTCAAAGTGGGTTCCTCGTCATCGAATTTGAATAGATAGATAGATAAACCGATATGTAGCGCTATCTAGTGTAACTAAATTCATCTAGAAATTTTCATAAAAGTGACCCGAAAAAACGGGGTTAACTCTGTAACCCGTGGCCTGATTTTAACGAAACTTGTTTTATTCTGTTTCTATTTTCATTTCATTATAAATATGGCGGTATTGTGCGCCTTTTGCTGTATTTAATTACAGACAAGCAAACAAACAATCTCAGAGTTTTAGTTGTATATAGATAGATAGACTTGGAAGTGTCAGCTTCAATTGACCTCTTCCTCCCCTAGCACATGATGAATTGCTTTTTACTTTGACCCCTTTCAAGGCCATGTACATGTACGAAATTATTATGATATTAATGTGATAAATACGCTTTCACTTCATTAATTTGTGCAAAGTTCTAAACTGTGGAAATAGTTCAAGATACATTTTCACATTTTTTCATCAATTTTAAATTTTATAGTAGAACTTGTTTGTTTTTAATTTCGCGCAAAGCTATCTGCGCTAGACGTCCCTAATTTAGCAGTGTACTCTTTTACCAACGAATAATCACATTATAACGCCACCATGGCTGAAAGGGTGAGCATGTTTGGTGGGACTGGGATTCGAACCCGCAAATTGTGAGTCAAGCCTATGCGAAAGTATTTACATATATAATGGCTGGAGACGGCTTTAATGGGTAATGAAGAAAAACTTTAATATAAGTTTAACATAACAGCAAATGTACAACGTTTCGACAAGGTTTTGTCATCATCAGGTACCTGACATAAAGAAAAAAACGAGATACATCAAAAACCAAAATCATCTTTTGAGTCAAACCTTCTAACTCAAAATTTAAAAATTACAGTATGCAAATAAAACCTTGCTACTACATTACCAAGTTAGTGCAATGGAATAAACAGACATATCTTTAAAAAACGCCCTTTATAATAATTAAAAAGGATACTTATTCAAATACAACTATAAATCTTTTGATAATGATACACATAAAATTCCCTTTAACTGCTTCAGTCTTACCTGGATAAGCAATGGTTCATATCCTAATCTTTGATGTGAAAGCTCCCTCATTGATGGCTAAAGTTTGTTCATGAACCAGCTGACTTGTTTGGATGGCTATCATCTCAGTGTTCTAGTCTGGAGTCATCCTGAAGACCACTCTGCCTCTATCTTCTTAGGACTTCAGCATCCATCAGGACGCCCCTATTGCTAGGAAGCTCTTCTTCGACTTAGAGATGTAATGATTCATGCAAAGATACAAGCACATTTGACCCTATCCTTTCGTGATAGCAGCACATCCTCTGATGGGACAGGTCATCAGACTCCATTTTTTCTTAGGCTTTGTATCCTCTTTTGGTTGTGTCAGGTGTGATAAAAATGAAGGCTGCTGGGTGGCTTGAAGGATATGCTCCTCTGAAGTCGTAGCTGGCATTCCATTGTTGGATTCCCAATTGCAGAAATACCCCTCCTCTCAGTGTGTGTATTTTCAGCTGTCAAATGTTATATTATAGCCCTTAGAGGAAGCAGAGCCAATCCAACCATAGATACTACAAACACTCCTATGTTGGATCACATATATTGACTACCAATGTATCTTCATCAATGGGCTCAGACACCAAGCAAGTCAGGCTAGGCCTGGATATTCCAGTGTCTCCTTGCTTAATTAGAAGTCCTGAGTGTATTACAGGAACTCAGCAACTTTGTAGCTGGATGGACTTTACGGTTCCATGCTTCAGATGTAAAGGAAAGCTTGTCTAACATATTTTTGTGGAACACTGGGTCAAGTCACGAATACTGGCTTGTTGAAGAAAGAGAGACTCTAACTGTAACCGGAACTTAACCTTAAATACTAAAAGACTAGATTAAAATGCAAGTTTGACTGAGTTCTAATTTATTAAAGACTCAGACGAGTCCATAGGTTAAAGAAACTTAAAAAGTATGCGAAAATATTTCCTTTCCATCATTAGTTTCGTGAAATAATGACTGTCTGAGTTTTGAAGATGAAGGAGCAACTCTATAATGTAGTGCATACATTATGTTACCAATACTACTCACAGACTCGGAAAGTAAGGGGTCACAACACCCTTTCAGGTAGCGGTATTCCAACTAAGTGACATCTTAAATTTTAGTAATCAGATAGAAGTCAAACAATGTAAACATTACAGTAAACACCACCTGATAGCTTGGAAAACAGGGATTGTCACTTCCTTTCAATCACTAGGCAGTTGACCAAATGACTATCCTAGGTTTGATGATCAAGTAGGACCCATATGGCGTAGTGTATACTCTGGGCTGTGAAAGCGAAGGATCACTACACCCTCTAAGTCATTATCTTCCAAATATCTGACTTTGATGACTAGTCCAATCTATATCAACTGAGTGGCAGGTGTTAGTGTTTTGTCTGCCAGTCAAAGTGGATAGTTTCTTCCACTTCCAGCAACTCCCCATTTGGTTCATTAAAGACTGCCAGATGAGTATTTGCAGGTTTCTCTCCATCACAAGGTGAGTCAACATGACTCGTGGTGTTCTTGTCTTCCACTGGCCCATCTGTATTCCTTTCCAGTCTCCTGGTCAAGCCAGTGCACCAAGGGCTCATCTGTGATGTATGGACACAGTTTATTGAGATGTTTTACATGTCAAGATGTTTTAGAGGGCCAACTTGACAAACTACGAGGTACAACCCAATCCAGTCAGATTAAAATCATTTCTGTGCCACTGGCACTTACCTTAATCACACCCAATCGCCATGTTGGAATGTCTGTCCTTGCCCTGCTCATTCATAGCAATCATTCTGTCATTATGCTGCCTTCCTAAGTTGTTTTCGAAAAAAAATCGTTTGCGTTGACCATCGTTGATCTCAGCCACTCTATATACCCTAGAGGGGACTAGGAAATAATTCTCGTGGTGGAGGGCCATACATCACGTCCACAAGAAGTAACACTTCCTAACCAAACATGAGCAGGTTCAGTCTATGGATCCCTGTTTTACTGCTCTATATGCCATCATTATATATTCCATTGGATTTAATAAACTTTATAAAGCTTGGACTGGTAGTTTGCAATGCACATTCTGTTAAACCATCAAACTGAGGATGATAGGTGAAGTATGAGTCATCACCAAACCAAACATATTACACAATCTAGCAAACAGTTGGCTGTTGAAGTTAGCTTCCTGATCTTCCTGAATCGTGCTATCCAGTTCTCAGTTAACATATATGTGCAATGTAATGATCAACAGATAAAACATCACCCAATTTTATCAAATAGTCAATGACAACAAGTATATAGTGATGATAACTTGCAATCTCCAGATGTGGATTAGTGATATCTAAGGCTATGGTTTATAAAGGTGAACCAAAATTTTCTATTGGAGTTTACTCCATATTGCTCGGTTATTTTTTTTGTGGTACACACAGTACAGCATCAAACATTTTAACTCATTCGTGGTCAGGACTGCTATCATATGTTAGTAAGTATGGATTACACCTTAGTGTCCTCCAGTTCTGTAGTTGTGCAAACTCTAAAATATCTCTTGCCTCAGAGCTCTAGAGTCCATTACCTGCAGCACTGCCAAAGCACATTGCCTCTTGTGTTAGTAACAATGGTACAGCACATCTTTCTGCACTTGCCCATACAGTTACCACAGGTTGCATGCATGCATACTGCACTAGCCCAGTTGGTGCTGGGCATTTTTGCCCTTGCTTGACTGCAAGGAGCACCAACACTAGATCACAGTCCTTTGGCTGCTTGTCCTGAAACTCTTGAAGTGTTAACTTTGTCATCACTCCTTCAGTGGAGTCATCTACTTTATGATTAGTTATTGCTATGGCCGATACAGTCATGGTTTTAACTCCCACACAGTGTACAGAATCAAAACATTCCATAAATGAGCAAGAACTCACTAAGTGGTGAGATAGTCTACCCATGCTTCTGTGTTTGCACCTAGGCGATGAACTATGACAAATTCATATTCTTGCAATATTGATTTCCAAGCTACTATGATCCCCCTTTGGATTTTTAAAGTTAATTAAAAACTTCAGTGAATCATGTCCTACCTTCGCTGTGAGCTACTATCATAGAAGTAGTGGTAA